ACAATTCCATAAACGGAGTGGTTACCCAATAAGATCGCCATAGACGCACTGGGTACCCATGGGGACGTGGTGCAATCATGCAACAGTGGTGAAATCATTGTAACATCGCCATAAGGAATCCGAACGCTTGGTGTGGTCGTGGCAGATACGCAAGGGTCATTGTGAAGACACCATGAAGTCGCCCTTGCAAATGTTACAATTTTCGCAACGTCTTTGCCACGTGTGTACTGCACGGGTACTACGTTCATGGATATGTTATCACAGCCTTCCAGGACAGACCACAGAATCTTGGCGTTTGTTTTAAACATGCTAAAAACAAACGCCGTGACTCTGCGATCATTCGCGACCATGGACACCACAGCACGATATCTGGCGTTTCCACCACGCTTATGGCGATCTTGACGCCGTCTGAGACAATTTTCCATCACCGTAGCAGCACAGTAAGGATACCAACCCGGTCTGACCTGGGTATAAATGGTATACCAGTCCAAACATGGTTCAATTCCGTTCAGTATTTACAACGATATGATAAATTGAAAATATGTCAACATTCAGCATCCTCTACAGATGATATAAATATGAACTGAAAAAAGCCAACCAGCTACACCTATATCTCAGTGAAAATCAGTGATGCGCCTTTTTAAGCCCACGGAATCGAATCCATGATAATATCTACCGTTGATTTTATTATGTGTTTTCTCAATAATTATATTTTAACGTTGATTAAACAGGCATTATGTAAGAGCTAAATGTGCCCATTGCAGGTCTTTCTTTAGGACTTAAATATTATATAAATTGTTAATTACACATTAACATGACAAGCCCATATTCAATTCTCGATGCCATCGGAAGGCTCCGATTTTAAGTAGATTAGAACGATTCGACCATTTAATGATTTAATTAAAAAAGGGATAACCGAGACTGTGTTTATTATCTTAACAACGGTAGCAATGACAATCGGTGTTACACTATTCTTCTAACGTCGATAACTTCAGAGTGAAGTAATCAGGCTAAAATTTTCAATATATTCCCTTTTCATTATCAAATTTTAATTATTATAGCGAGAACTGTCAGGATTTTATCTAATCTTACATAATTTCCCTTTAAGTCGTAAATAATGATATGTCGATCATCGGCTTTAAGTAAATGCCAAGTCAATAGGGTCTGCAATCCTTTGTTTATAAACAATGAATAAGGCTCCCACATATCGTCACAGTCAGTGTCTTTATTTGGTGATTCAAACAATCGGTAACGGTAGAGTTCACCTTGGCAATTAATGCATGTTTTGTATGCTTTGATTATCTTTCAACAAATGCATCAGACTAAGAGATCAGCTATACACAGATTAGCCGGTTAATGAGGAAGTGGGTGGCATTACACGTCTGCTATTGATGTGCTAGGCTTAACACTTCATGGCGAATCTAAGTGCTTCGAGTTGATCCGTAAAGCATATCAGGTTCATAAATTACGTTAAAAGTAGCATCTACGTCCATGATGACAACTCAACTAGGCGATTTCTATTCATTACACGATATCATTATGTTCGCTTCATGCTCGATACAATCGATTTAGAATCAACCTCCAAACAATGCCACAGTAAAACCACAATAACATAAATGCCCAACTGCTTTTAAAGGATCTAGAAAAAACCAAAGAGAAAATCATTCACCTCAAATGAAATAGACGTTTTTATATTCTGATTAATAACACATAGGTCGTAAAATGTATTGCTCCAATTCAGCTAGGACATTCAGTGATTGGTCACGACCAACAGTTACCCTAGTTGGCTGTCTCGTTTGAGCATTTTCTTTTTAATCAGGGGCGTTATTCAAGAGACAAAAACTGTTTTTGTCTTGTTCGTGTATACTGGCTGAGAGCTAACAACTGTGTCAGGGCGATCTACATTTTGTGTGGTTGTGTGTGTTAAGGGTTTGGTGGGGGCGAGGGAGGGGGGCAGATCAATTATGGGGAACACTGGAATTCAGTACAGTGGGTATCCTTGAGTGTTTGAAAATTTATAGAGTATTCCTTGTAATAAGAAAATTTAACAACATTTTCTTAACGAATATGTATTTCATTTACATTGTGGTTCCTTGAGCTAAAGTATATCCCGTATTTTATCTCCGCCGACATGGTTAAGAAATTGATGGAATGCATTAATAATCTCTATGGCGGTGCTATGTTCAGAATTAACTGTACTCGGATTTATTGCATTAGTATTAATGTCATTGCTTTTAACCCTGTCCATTCACATATCGAATACATTCTAACTCTTAGAAATTTAAAACCCCGTAACTGTAACAGATTTGAAATTGCATTAGATAAGAATTCATTGAAAGGCAACATTTTCTATTAGTATAATGCAGGAAATATCTTCATTCATTTAATTGAGGGGGTCTATTGATCGTGGTCGAGAAACAGACGTTAAAGTTTCAGAAATGATATAAAGTTTATATGACCAGACAAAAATCCAGTTTCGGAGAATTCATTCATTAAAAACGTAACGATAAAATGTAAAAAGCATGTTTCTAATCAACTCCAGTAAATTTAAACCCAACCAATGTTTACTTTGGGTTCTGAAATTCGGCTACATAGGATTTTTTTGACACTGAAACGACGTTGAGTCGCGAAAATTTGTTATACTCACGTAATATTTTATCACAGAATACTGCACTGAAAGACTTCTTGGTTTGGTATAAGAGATTTGAGAAAATGAATCGCCTGAGACCGAATTCGTTTATTTTGTTTAAGAATATAATATGCAGGTTTTTTTATCCGTCATCAGTAAAGATAGGATGTTTTTTGGTCTATAAAAAATTATGTCATTATATAAAATGTTGAACGCCGGTTAAGGGGTTTTGAAGTTAGCACTGGGATAATAGAAGACATTCTATGCGTGTGAAGTACACTGCTTCCTGTTGATATACAAGGTAACGAATTCCTAAAGAGATCTTAAAATCTCTTATTCCGTCGTAACGAGCAGACGAACGTTGTTCAAAATGCATTCATTTCCTTAGTCCGAAATAAAATATTAAAAGATAAAAGAGGTAATGGTTATGTAGACTTTTCATATGGAAACATCCAAGTAATCATCGACATTGCAACCCAATGTTATGGTCACAGATCACTAATGATTTCCCTCCCCATTGACTTTAATGTTAAATCTCGTCTCTTAGACCGTAACGTTTTTTTCCAAATTTTCGTTGGGTAGAACGCTTTCTACACCAGATGGAGCAACATGTGGCAATTGCTTGCTCGAAAGCACGTAGGAGGTTCATCATGGAAAACTTGAGATAGACAAACTGGAAGTAAAGACCAAATAACATGCACTTTTCGGCCATACATTTCAAATTAAACAACCTCTCAACTCTCGTATCCTTCCGCCTCCAAATCATGATTATTCACCAAAACCTGGCAGAGAATGCATGTTCAAACCCCTTTCTTCGATTCTACACCAAAAAGTCAACAAATTTGGCATGGAAAAGGGAGGGGGGGGGGGGAGAGAAATACTGAAAAAAGCTTTGGCCCTTGGTGAGCTATGTCCTATATGACAAGGCCATGGCCATGCCAACCGAAATATCCCAACCAACGGCATTCTAATAATATATATGTTTTTAAAAATATTTTTTTAAAATTGTCTGTGCAAAATAAGGGAACTGTATTAGGATACCATTTGTGTTCTAAAATGCGTTTGACAACTGTTCTGTATGGAAGCCTATAACTACCATTCATAATTTCTACTTTTCGCCTCTTCAGAACAGGAAAGTCGAAAAGTAGAAGTTACGACAAAATGTGAGGCGACAAGACGGTATACAAGCCAAAATCAACTCGAAAATAGGAAATTAAGAAATAACACATCGCGATAATAGCGCCCCCCGTTTTTTCTTAATTTCTACTTTTCGACTTGCATTTTGGCTTGTATTCTGTCTTGTCGACTTTCGACTTAGTCATATTTTTGTATTTATTGATGTCAGTAAGAAGGCGCCAACACGCTATACAAGCCAAAATGCAACTCGAAAAGTAGAAATTAGGAAATTAACACACTGCGCTATTAGCGACCTATGATCTGTCGTACTGTCGACTTTTCTACTTTTCGCCTAGGTAGTTGTTGTAGTCTCTGCCTTGTAGGTCACATTTGAATACGCGCAATTCCCGTTAACAAAAATGTTGGTGTGATAGAGTCTAGTAATGATGGCGATTATTTTATTAATATCTCGATCCCTATGTTACGGAAAATTTTATGCAGCCGTCAGTACGACAGATCATAGGTCGCTAATAGCGCAGTGTGTTAATAGTTAAGTTGTTGTAGTCTCTGCCTACCAGGCACATTTGAATACGCGCAATTCCCGTTAACAAAAATGTCTGTATGTGCGTATTCATATGTGACCTGGAAGGCAGAGACTACAACAACTTCCTAGGCGAAAAGTCGACAGTACGACAGATCATAGGTCGCTAATAGCGCAGTGTGTTAATTTCCTAATTTCTACTTTTCGAGTTACATTTTGACTTGTATAGCGTGTTGGCGCCTTCTTACTGACATCAATAAATACACAAATATGACTAAGTCGACAAGACGGTATACAAGCCAAAATGCAAGTCGAAAAGTAGAAATTAAGAAAAAACGGGGGGCGCTATTATCGCGATGTGTTATTTCTTAATTTCCTATTTTCGAGTTGATTTTGGCTTGTATACCGTCTTGTCGCCTCACATTTTGTCGTAACTTCTACTTTTCGACTTTCCTGTTCTGAAGAGGCGAAAAGTAGAAATTATGAATGGTAGTTATAGGCTTCCATAGTTCTGCTATAATTATATATACAAAATATTATGCCATTCGACGATCTACTCACTATTATATCAACAAAAACATCAGCCGCATGAACTGTTAAATTTGTTATCTATAATACCCCAAATGCTAATAATACGCTTGTTTTATTTTTCATACTAATAAACCTATTAGTGAGAGCGTATTAGTCAAATAAATTTTTAATTATTTATTCCAGGAATGGTATGATGAGTTTTTGAGATGGAATCCAGCAGATTATGGCGGAATTGATGAACTTATAGTTTTTCAGAGAGAAGTTTGGTTACCTGATTTATTTGTTGAAAATACGTAAGTTTTAAGGTTAAATATCGATAATCTTGTAGTTTTCGCTGACCTTAGTTACGGGGACATGCGTGTAGATTTCATTGTTTAATATTGCTTAATCTGGTTATACCTAATTTCTGGAAACTGTTAGTTGCCGATGAATATATTTATATACAAATCGGTCACATTATAATATACTACCTGACAGGGCGACTGTAGTCAAGTATTGAGAGCAATGAACTCGTCACTAGAATATTCCGGGTTCGCATCTTGTGATTCGCCAATCCCGCTTCTCAGGGGTGGTACCTGTGGTGCTAACAAGTACAGGTCCGTCGTTGTACATTTCAGGTGGAATGCAGTGCATTGACGTTTTGTGTTGACGAGACGCCAAATCCAATGTTTTTTTTTTCCTGTCACTATCGCCTCGTCGGCGAATTTGTTTTTAGAAAGTCTACACAAGAGCTATGTATTTTTTTTGACTTAAAACGATATATAATATATTCTCATGGCAAGCTCATAACCAATTCTCTAGAACATCTGTCTTCGATACTGAATAGTACTTGTCAACACTTTAAACATTCATAACTTCGCTCAGAATAAAGTGATTTGACTGAAATTTGCAATTTATTCATTTTCCATTATCGATTTTTAAACTATTATAGCAATAAATGTCAGCCCATTATCTTTTAAATCCCAATTCTGATGTTGTAATTCATTTTTTCAGTCGCATCATTATTTTTCTGATCATTATGAGTTTGCGGCTTTGTAATGCAAGGGCGAATCCATTAAAATTGAATTTTGATATTATGTCAGTTAAAGTATATGATGGTCATTTGTCTTTGTTATCCACACCAAAAGGAAGAAGACTTTGTGGAGCGCCAGACAATAACAATGTAATGGATTAGCGTGAAGCCAAAAGATCGAGGTGGCTGGCATTAACACATAGCGTGTCAAAATGTATTTCCAATTTACCCTGTAAATCTATTGGTTCCGGATAATGCAAATTATGAATAAATTATTTTCCTTAATACTAATTGATCCTGCGATTCTGGATAATGAATGCCAGGAACGCAGAAGCTTGTTTTTATTAAAAATAACAACAGCAATAAAAATAAGGTGTCCCACACAGTTAAATTTAATAATAACTTTAGTGAATGTTAACCGTAAATGATAATTTCTAAAGTGATTGATTACGTGACAGTTCCGGCTCTAGCCAGTAATCACCTATAAAAAGAAATGCTCATGTTAATTTTGTGAAAGAATAAAGCCTGAATAGCATCATGAATAACAGTAATATTTACGTTGTTAGTTAGCTTGAAAATTAACTTGGATTTATTTTCAATTTGCTGTTTTATTAACTATGCGGATCATATCGAGATCCATTGTTTAGTAGAATTTATCTCGTAAGAACATGCCAAGAAACAAATATTATTAATACTTTTATAAAATTATTAAAATGTTAGTTTAAATGCAGCGCTCACGTGATATGGAATTCAGATTTTATTTCCAACTGTCCATAATATTTCTTATGAAATAGTCTCGATAATCCTGACCAGTTGATACGTTGGTGAACGATCGGTAGACTGGTTTAGCGCCACTGATGTCGAAGTAACATCAAGTAATGGGTACAAGAATTAAATGGATATAACTGATTTAAAACTATATGACTGTATATTTAGCAAAGATAAAATGGGCAAAAAATACGGGAAGGATTGTCAAATGTTGGCATAATACTCAATATAATTCGAGGAGGTATTACAGCACTCACAAAAACACAGTAAACCATTAAAATATACATCGACCCGCCCACTTTATATTTTGTGGCTAAGATGTTGACAATGTAGATGTAGGGATACAAGTAAATACAAATCAGATAGACATTTTTGGAGAAATTGAAATAAAAGCCTGGTAAAACCTTTATTATTTCTTTTATAACTAATACCCGTGTTTTCGTTTCAGGGCTCAGGATTATAAGGAACTTGGTAATGACGCCATGTTAATTTCAGTCAGTCACAGAGGGAAGATATTTTGGGAGCCTGGTATTGTGACAGAAACCAGCTGTGCCGTGAATATTGGAAGATATCCGTTTGATTCACAGTCTTGCGACATAAGATATTTAACATGGATGCACACAAATCGCACATTGACTGTTGAACCCGAGTTCAAAACAATCGACTTGGAAGCCACACTACCGAATGGAGAATGGGACATTGCTAGAACGGAAGCACTGCCATATTCGTACCCATCAACCTACAAACAAGGAACAAGTCACACGGGAGTTAAATTTTTCGTTTATTTACGTCGCAAGAGAACATTTTATATATTAAATACTATTATACCAGTAGTGATGTTATCACTATTAAATGTTTTAGTATTTATATTGCCTGCTGATTGTGGTGAAAGAATGGCTCTAGCAGTCACTGTTCTCTTGTCCTTTACAGTTTATCTGGGAATTATCAGTGACGTCATGCCAAAGACGTCAGAAAGCCTGTCCTTGTTAGGTAAGAAATGAAATAATTGCACGTCTTGACTAATTCAACAGTAACTAACCCTAAATGCCCCTTTACTGGTGTAACAGATCTTTTGCAATTAGGTCTTTGAAGCAATCTCCTTGACCAGCATTGGACCCAGGTCAACATTACTCTATAATACCACAAAACTTCAATGTTCACTCTACAAGGAATCACTTGCCGTACTGAAGACACCCTTGCCCCTAAATACCTATATTTAATGCCCTTCTTTTTAACAATATTTATTACACTAATACTTATATGACATGGAGAACAGATAAGGCATTTGCAAAATTCCCGTCATGCGTATTGACAAATTTTGAAATGCATGACACTGGGAAATGATCTGGTCAAAGATACAGGTTTAATTGCCTGGCGCGTGTCTGATAAATTTATAGTTTTGTAAATTACAACTTTAAACACAGTTTATTGAAATATTTCATGGATATAATCTCCCTTTTACTTAAGTTGTTATGCTTATTGAATTAATTTAATGTTGGATTTTCGTGCCACGTTTCTGTGTCATAGAAAATGCAAGGTAGCTTGAAGCAAGAGGAATATACTATGGCATCAATTATGTCTTTATGCCCTTCACAGAATTTTTTATTTTGTATTTTTCAGCTGTTTACCTCACAACACTTCTTTCTCTCAGCACCATTTCTGTTGGCTGTGCTGGGGTTGTTCTTAACATACATCACAAAGATCCACGGACGGCCGTACCTCGGCTTGCTCGTATTTTATTAGGCGGAAGCGGTAAACACAATTACAAAGCGCTACACAGGCGTTCGACAATACGTGACAAATACGTAGAAAGTGACAGTTTACGTGACGTACAGGATACTGTGCATCTAAATATGAAAGAGATGGTTAGTGATAACAAACCCTTAGAAAATGGCGACGCCGACAATCATAATGTTGAGTGTAAAACCACGTCATCAACGGCGCCGGAATGTCAGTGGCTGGTCAAAGATGGCGAGGATGTCAGTAAAAAACACTATGCTACGTGGCACGATATCGGCAAGTCATTGGACAATATCTTATTCTGGATTTTTTTCATCATTACGGTAACCGTCACAACCACTATGTTATTGCTATTTTGTGGAGTGCATGGATTCTGACATCTATTCAAGGGTAACGACACTTCAGTTGAAAGCGAATATTAAATCCCATAGTCAGTTAGTGAACAATTGGTCGCGATGAGGAAGAGTATGATATGCTGTTTAATAATTGGGAATAGCCTTATGCATAGTCAACATTGGTATTATATATTTATAAACGCCAGATTGCAGTAAATTCCATGACAGTGTGGTGAACAAGATAGGTGTTTCGATTAGTCTATGGTTCAGATCGTAAGTTATCAATGGAGACCAAAAAGCACCTTTTAAACTATTACTTACTGTTTGTGAATATATTATTGAATTAGACACCCATGCATATATTTAGACGTTTTAAATAAATACATAATATGTACATGTTGTATATACATACACACTACAAATAATCACTTGTTGATGAAGGGGTATATACCTTATTAAGTCAGGTAAATTAAATGTTGAATTACTGGTGGTGCAAGGTTTATGCGGTGAGATGTTTTTGTTTCCAAAGACTGAGCCGAAGTTGGTTTGTTTAATAATTTTAATTACATTTTACATCTCGACTGCTGAACAGACAAAGTCATATCTCAACATTGTCTTTATTACGGACGTACAATCAACACATACAATACAGTCAAATGGGCAATCAGATTTTAAGTATTGTGGCACATGTTGAATAATGTATGATGAATTGGTCGTGTTAAGTTTTCAATCTGTTTAAAACACAGTTCCTATTTCGTTTCGTTTTTATAGTTCAATATTTCGCGTTACTTGTCTTTACTACACTAGGATCTAGAAGAGTTGTTATCATTGAAGTGTTCTGAATGGTGTGAGGGATTAGCCAATGAAACGGTCTGGTCTGTTACTGCGAGCTTTAAGCGTGTTTTGCGCGGAACTGTGGGTAATCCACTCGTAACATCAATGCTGATTGGTTAATCATATGTCTGACGTCATAGGGTCAAAAGCCGCTCGTATGACCTCTGACGCGACCTATCCCTACGACCGGTCAGATCTTCATGTAGTGTAGGCCATCAAAAGTATAAAAAAAACGACACGAAATATAGTTCTGTATTTTAATCAGATTGGTTAAGTTGTCAAATGTCAACAGAATTCGATTTACGGTGGTCATACATTTTCCGAACTGAAAACACGGGTTGCCGTTTACCCACAGTAATAATATTGGATCGGGTGAATGTGCATTTTGCCTAACACTATATGATTACATACGACAGTGTATAGCTTTAATATTTATTTATATGGATACATTAATTAAATTTTATATGAATTGTTTTATCCCATTAAATTTAACTCCAGAAAACAGTTTTGTTATTTGTGTTCAATTTAAGAACTCTAAATGGCACTGACATTCTGATATTCGGCAGATGACAATGTTACATTTGAAATAGGGTAAATTTATATAGTAGTGTATAATAGCGTTATTTTCTATTTTAAATCAGGTCATATACTTTGTGATATGTGTACATGTGTGTATATAGTTTATTTTAATCATTATTAATATGTAAATAATAATTAGAATAATATAGATAAGAAATACATACATGTAGACAGATTGCCACGTTATTTTAAAACGGTTTATTTAACTTCGAGACATTTTAATTTTCTTTTTCAAATTATATATACTTAATGACACATTTTATACTCTTACGTATCACTTATTTGTTATACTAGAGACTTTTGGCAAGCGTAAATTTCTGGTCCGTATCGCGTATCCGTATGGATTTTGCGTGTGACGTCACAAATGTGTGTGCATTTCTCAGACGTGATACGGCACACGGAAACGGCAGCACGCACCGAACAGCTTTCATACGGAAAAGATCCGTATACTATAACATTGTCGTGTCTTGTTACCGTCTTTTTGCTACTTTTAGACGCTAAAAATCTTTGTGTATATTTGATGTGATTTTAACAATGATGGTTGATCTACGTGCTAAATTTAGGGAGGGGAACCTTGCAAATATGTAAATAATTTTATTCTGTGGTAAAGGGGTATAAACTTTCTGAAATGATACATTAGTTAAACCAAAAATTGCAGTCGAGTCGAAGATGATATTAATTTTTATTTAATAGCTCAGCGACTGTCGATCGACTTCATTCCCTCCGGGAAATTGTCGGCTATAATAGGTACTTGACTAGTACTGATGGTGATCTTGGTAGATATTTGCCATTATGCTGTAATAGAACTAAGCTCAGCTGATCGACGCACGCGTACGCAACGCGAAAATCTGCCAAAACTCTAAAACTACATTGACGCAACGTATCACGTGTACGATACGGACACGTGATACGGATGGGAAAATTCCGCTTGCCAAAAGTCTCTATTGTTGTAATCTGTCCGTCCGCCTGCCAGTATTTGAACCTTCTTTTCATCACTCTAAAAATGAGCGGTCTTTTTTTTAAAAATCAAAAAGCTAACAGACGTCCCGACGTCGCTCTACAAATTGGAGATTGATAAATAGGAAGGGGTGTGCCATCTTTCAAAATTTTTTGAATCAATACTTCTGGATTAACTGCGCATCCTTTCTTCGCGGCGGAGTGATATTTGTCATATAAACCTTGAACTAAATCGGTCTATTGCAGGTCTTTCTTTAGGACTTGAATGTTATATAAATTATTAATTATACGTAACGTCCACTCGACACAAACTAGGTCATTTCGGGACTAATATATGGTCCAATTTTATTTCAATATTAAGTTGATTTAAATACGAGAGGGAGAAAGAGAGAGAAATTGGGTTTAACGTCTCGGGGTCGTTAGCAGTGGGAGCAAATCGGAGGACCCGGAAAAAACTCACGAGGTTGGACAGGCGACCCTACTCCTTGTCACGTACAACTGGGGACTCTAAACCATGCCAGTTGACACAATGACACGTTATGATACAGCGCGCACGCGCTAACCATTCGGCCATCCAAACCCGCTTGCTTTAAATACGTTTTGTGGTTGCCGTCAAAATAATTAATCGAGACTTTGTTTATTATCATAACAACAATCGCAATGACAATCAAGGCTACAGTGTTATTGAAACGGGAATAACTCGGCCCAGAGAGAAGTCATTTGACTGAAATTTTCAACATAATCCCTTTTCATAATCTATTTATTTAACTATTATAGTGGGAACTGTCAGCTCTTTATCTGATCTTACCTAATGCCCCTTTAAGTTCTTGGGGTTGAATCTTATTAAAATTAATTGTAGTGTTTTACCCCTGTCATGACAGTCTTGTGAAAATTCTACAAATGGCAGGATTCCAGAATTCTCTTTGAAACTTGCTCAGATTGTTTATTTGATCATGGGCGTATGCTCCAATGCCTGGCATCTTATCTTTGTACTAGTTCATAGTAATTATTATAATATGGTTTTTATGTTAGGGAATGACGTTTTGCGACATGCACACATTCTGTTTTGTTTTGTTTTTAAATTTTTTACGGTAAATATTTCTAATTGATTTTTAATGTGAACAAAATTCTATTAATGTTGGAGACTTCATTGAACATCATTCATGTCTTTAATCTCATTTTTAAAAAAAAAAAATAACTAACTCGATATTAAATAAGGTAATGCGATTAATTGGTACTGGATGTCTTGTTGATGTCATCTCGATCAAACATGAATCTGACATTAAGGGGTTATTAAGAGTAGTCTCAATATCCACGTATGTCAAACCTAAAAGGATAACTCGATAAATATTTTACGGTGGGGAATTAATAAAACAGATATTACAAACCATAATTAGTATTTAAACCTCAGTTCTTGAACCAGCAACTAAGACTTAAGCGCTATATATTCTTCTTCTGGAGTACGATGCTCTTCGAAAACAAGCACCAGCCCTTGTCAGTTCATGTACAGTCGATATGAAACGTGGCATTCTTGTTTTTTGGACAATTGCGCATCGACAGATGTCCTATTTGGATGTGATGTTACCATTCCAAGATGATGGCGATGATGCCATGCTCAGTTCCTGGTTCATCGTACGCTTGTATAGCAGTCATGTGTTTATGGTCAGGAGTAGAGGAAAATAAATATGTTATGAATAGATTTTATCATACGTTTTCTTATCTTCCAATTCGTTATATAATATATTTTCTTGGCAATCTATACTGGTGTTCAAATAATGTATATATCATGACTTTAACGAGACTATAGTGAAGTAAAGAAAACAACCGTATTTTATATTGAATGGGTTTGAAATTCATTGTGGCTTTTAAGTAAAGAAACCACCGTTTCATTTACCTATACATATACCTTTCTCGGCATAATTTCGTTTAAGCAACTGTATATTTAAAGTTTGTTTAATAGCAAATATAAAATATCATAATTAAGGAAACCACAACTTCACTTCCTTTATCTAAATTATTATGCGATTTAAATTAGAAAATTAAACGTCAGTATATCTAAAGTTTCCTTAATAGCAAGAATGAAATATCTCAGCCACAAAAAAGCCCACAACTGTAATTTTGTTTTCATTTAATTTTTTTTTCAGTTTATTATGTTGTACTGTATAATGTTTGTATTTTAGATGAACATAAAAACCGATTTGAATAAAATGTACATTTACTATCATACTGAATATGAGTTTTAAAAAACCCAACCTATTCATATACCCAATTCGGGCCCCTATACTGCTTAATTCCATTTTTTCTGTATTCTATTGAAACAAACAATGAAACAAACCACGTTTAACAGTTTACCAGAAAATCTTTGAAATTCAAATAAAGTATCAAATTTTATGTTATAAATTATTTTTCCTCTGGAATAATTGATTCAGGCTATATAGCATTGGAAATCCATTTTTAAAAATCATTTATTATAACCAAGCCTTTATAATTTGAAAACATAACTTTCTAAAATCGGATTCTATGCCTTTTAAATGTAATAAAACTTGGCAATGTATCAGATGACCAGTCTTTGGATTTCCGTTCGTGATCAAATTTCTATTCAATTTTAAAGTGAGATTACCAAAGCCACAGCTAGTCTGAAATTTGTATTGATATCTTTATCGCTAATCAGATCTTTCTCTGGATTGAATCTAATGTACGTCGTCATTTTTAATCAAACCATCAAAGCGACGTCATTAGACGATATGGCTTTTGAAGTTCTTCTGAAATAAGAATGGATTAAGTAAAAATGTCGACTGAAATCTCCACTCGGAAGTAACTGACCGCTTTGAAATCATTACTTAGTAATATACATGTAATTACCACCCACCGATCTTTGTAACTAGATGTAAATGCACACAGAAAACACTTTGAACGGAACATAAATTTTATTTAAAACCAGAGTATGTAGATTTGCGCTTATACATGTAAACTACCGTCGGTTAATTAAAATGTTGCCCCCATACATATAGGTGAGTAAGTTTGCTGTAGACACGTATTTGTTCATAAAAAAAGTAGACACTCATATGTTCAGACAAATGTAGAAACATATCTGATCAGAAAAATGTAGACACAAGTATTAAAACTGTTTTTTTTTTCAAACCAGGATAATATTTTTGAAGCCCGGATTAAGACTTTTCATCGCAAAGTTTGGATTTCGGCCAATGATTGCATAAACCTAGCATCAATCATAATTGCGTTGCGTAGGTTTATTTAGAAGAAAGGGTGGATTACTAAATGTCATAGAAACCAACGCCAACAAAAAACTTGTCTCAGATTTGTATCCCATAATTCAATTCATTCAGACTGAATAAGCCATGCATCTGCAAATATAGGAACCAGTTCATGTTAACTTTAAAGGAAGCCAAGTGACCAAGTGCGTTCGATTGGAATTTATCTAGTACCCCCCCCCCCCCCACTCCACACTAACACTCGTATTGTCGGTGAAGTGTCAAAAGGGTTAAGAAATAGAACCTTTTGCATTTCAAAATTTCCACAAATCAAGATACAACATTTGGACACATGATACCAAGAACAGTTCTAATTGGCGTAGAGATAAACAGCTTGGGCAGAAATGTGCATATTAATTGGGAGATTTTAAAAATGCAAAAAAGTGTATTTGACTAATTTCCCGAGATACACCCTTTTGACACTTCACTGACGGTATTCTTTCACCGTTATGTTGTCTTATTCAATTTATATCTTTAATCCATTTCTTTTTTATTGTTCAGATTTCCACTTGAGTGGCGAACTTGAAAGCAAGATATTGTCTAATATAATTGCGGTACGATTTTAAAGAATCTACAACTCTACATTTATCGTATTGTATAATGTTTGATTGTATTTTAAATGAATATGAAAACTGATTTGAATAAAATGTACATATATTAGCATACTGATTAAATTCATATTTTCCATGACTTTGTTATAAAACAACCGACTCATATAACCAGCTGCTTAGTCTGTTAGTCATGGCAACATATTTAACACTTCAGGCCAGGTTTTATCGTGTTCATACCATAGAGTTACTCGA